TGTAACGTGTCGTTACTCTACATACTTGACCCAGTTTTTAATAAAATATAGGGTACTTATGAAAAAAAAAACTTGAGAGGTAAGGCTATGTAAAATTCACTGGGATCGTGAGGCCTATTCATTGAATTGTGGTAAATCCATCTATCAGTCCTCATGTAACCTTAAGGAACCTATGGTAGCTTAAATTATTTTTTAATAAACCAAATTTTCGAAGTACAGATATAGACATATCAGGACAGAAAATCAGCGACAAAAAAACTACCTATATCACAAAATTTAAGCTTTGGATGAAGTCTTTTCATAAAATTCGATTTAGCTACGATCGAAATGACATTCGCCAGAGGCAGATCAAAAGACAGATAAATGCAAGGGCAATAGAAGCTTTATGATAGCTTGGTTGCATTTAAGAGCTATGCCTAAGTGAGGATATTTCGATCACGATAGATATTCACTTCTTATAGTAGTTGCTAATATGAAGCTACATAAAGTTCATTGGGTTGAAAGGGGTATTTGCTCGATATTGCTGGATTACATCTCATATTACTGATTTACTGATAGTCTCGAAACTCTACCTAAATACTAAATTTATTTTCAACTAGCGTTTATAAGCTAAGAGTTCGAGAAATCTATTAGTAAATAGAAATCTTAGGGTGAAGCTAAAAGTTGGCAATGAAGATATGTGCTATCATTTAAAACAAGGTGAAATTATTTATGCATATTCTAAATAATTAAGCTCTAATAGGGAGGGCTTTGAGGAGCTATTGCAAGAAGTCATCATCTATACGAAAAATATATAAAAATAAATCTATACAACCATCAACAAATTGTATTTGTTGACTGATATTCAAAAGCTGCGAGTGATATAATCATCAAATGAGCAAAAATTAAGCATTTATATCTTATTGTTATTCGAAAAAATCAAACATAATTAGATAGATTAATAATTTATCATCAAACGAACAAGGGACATAAAGTTGAAATTACGGAAAGGATAAGCAAGCATTTGAGGAAGTTTATAGTTAATATTATTCGAGAATAAAACAAACATTTAAAGGTGCCTCTAAAAATGGATAACACTTTTCGGGACTGAGCATGCAGTGCACTAATCATGAAAAACTTGGCCTCTAATAAGAAAAGAATTTATTTAGCTGTAACGAGATTGGTCGAGATTAATAACATTGAAGGCATATATTCGTTATAAAATAAAATGCTATGCTTAAGAATAGGCTATTGATAAAGAGATCAAAGATGACACTAAAATGGAAGATAATAGCAAGTAACCGTGAGTTAGCCTTTAAAAAAGGAAGCCATCTAGATTGTCTTTTTATAGAAAGTAAGGAAATGCTAATATTCCTATAAGTGATGGCTTTGGCCAAACCCTCTGTCTACATTTGCAGTTGAATGAGACACTGTCGAAATCTCAATGATTATAAGTGTAAAACGTAAGCGAGTATGATAATAGGAAATAAACATACGGTTTAGTTATAGGAGTATATTTCTTTTGATGCGTTTAAGTTGGATAAAGACACGATAAAAATGAGTATATTCAATGGCCAAAATATCATATCTTCACAGTAAAATGAAAATATCTGGTTATGACGCTAAAAGTACATGATTCGGAATATGTATAAGTAGCTTCTTTTAAAGACACGGTTATCGAAGTTACGGTAAGGGTTTCTTAGAATCAAATATGTAGTGGTGAATATAAGTATAAAAAATGGTGGAGGTAAAGTTGGTCAAAAAGGTTGACCATAATTAAGAGTTATTATCAATAACATACTCGTAAAACATATCATCTTAGCTTATTCTTATGTTCTTTGAGACCTTGATTTATATTAAATAAAATCAATAGTAGTCTTTAAATATTACAGAGAAGAGGAATTTTCGATTTACCAAGCTATCTTGAGAGAAATATTTAGGAACAAAGATGACTGTAATAGCCCTCCTGAAGATTCAACCCCAAATAAGTGAAATATAAAACTAAATCCGAAGTTATTGATTTAATTATCCAAACAATCTAAATAGATAATTCGGCATTAAAACAGTTAAAAAGTTCAGGTCAAGTTGCGATCAGCTTTGCTATGTAAGAAAAACATTAGCTTCTAAGGATCAGCTGAAGTAAAAGAGATTACAGAGGGTCTAGCTTGACTTAAGGCAAATATATCTCATGCTTCAGAAGAATCTATCAGAATGGAAAATTTAATCCTTACCTGTAGTAATTAGTCCCGTAGTATAGTATGATAAGTATATACTTAATAGCAAATAATTATAGCGCTAACGTATGAGTCAAGTGACATGTTCACATATGTCTATAAAATGTACTATAACAGTAAAAATAAATCAATGTCTTATAAAGTATAAAATTGATAGCAAATGGCAAATCTAAACAAAAGTATTTTTGGTAATTAAAACGTTAATATAAATAAGGAAGAGCGCAAGATTAGAAACGATTCAGAAACTATAAACGATCGGGGGACACAAAGTAAAAATTTATTTATAAGTACAATTTTACTGAGGAAGTAAATCCAATGTCACGAACTATATGACTAGTAAACATAGGCCAATTAGAGCTGCATCAGAAAGGAATTTTTATCATTGCAACATTAGGAATGAAGTAAACAAGCATACATGTCCTTAAAAGATTATAAAGTCAGTGAAAAAAAATTTGAATTGAAGGAGCAAAGCAAAATAAATGTACTGAAAGAACATGTATGGATGGATATATAAAAGGTAAGGTTAAAGACAAAAAAGAATAAATGAAAAAAGAAAAAGAACTAGAAAAAGAAAGGAAATATAAA